GGCCAAAAGCCTTTCCAGACACAGCAAAAAAAAGGACCGACTTTATTGGCATTTCTGCTGCCATTCAGTTCAATCTCCACCACAATCATTCTCACTCTCTCTCTTTGAATGCGAGACCTTGGCTGTTGTCCTCTCTTTCTGGCACGGCTAACGCCCTTTTCACGAGAGAAGGAGAGCAGAGAGGGGGATAAATAGAGAGCGTCTTTTAGCTGCCGCATGTTCGTCCCCTCTGAGCTGAAGGACAGTGTCGAATAGTCTTGCAGGGGGGTGTGAAGACAGACAGACTGCGGAGGATTAGAGACTGTCTGTCTCTACGTCTGTCCTCTGACATCCACTAGCATCTCTCTCTCTCTCTCTCTCTCGCACACACAGTTACAGGCATACAGTCGAGATGATGACAGTAATACTGTACATCCGAGTGTGAGATTGTCTTGTGCTGCAGAGGAGGGGACAGGAAGTGATGTGATTGTCTTTTTATTTTGTGTTTAACACATTGGTCCTTTCCTCCAACGCCATCAATCCATGTTGCAAATGTTTTTTAGGCGTGTTTAAAGGGGGCAGTTTTCCATTTTTTGATCGAGAGTCAAAGTAGAGAGAGAACAGGGAATGATGGGGGGAATGGAGACACAACACCACTGAAAGTCAAACTCTAAAGTTCCACATGAGCACATTGATATAACGATATATCTTCTATATAATATTAATAATAATAACGAATGGTTACATTCTCAAAACAGCCCAAATAAATAAATAAATAAACTTAAATTGTTATTGAATACAAAACAACTCTAAATCAAATAAATAATTATAACATTTACATCAGAAAATGTTTTTCATTTAAATCGTTAAGTTGAACTGTTATAAAAATATTTATTAAATTAGTCACTTAAATCTTTGCCCAATACATTTTTACTAAATTGAATGGTTATTAAATAAAAATGCAAAATCTAAAATAAATAATGAAATATGAAATACAAAAATGCTAAATTTAGAAAAAGATATACAGCTTTAAAAAAATGTCAAAAATGTCACTTTGAAATTAATATTTGATATGTTTTAGCTTACCTCGAGGGCATCCAAGATGTCTTTGTTTCCACAGTATTTTCAATTTTGATATTTTTAGGTCAAACCGTTCTTGTCTGTCAGTCATATAATGGAGGTTTATGGGGTCCACCTCAAAGAGCATGCACAGAGAAGTCAAAATTAAGCATGATTTAATGACTCGTAAATTTAAGTACACATTGATGGCCTAAGATGCGAAACGAGCGGTTTGTGTGAGAAAACGAACAGTATTTATATCGTTTTTACCTCTTGTAATCACAGCCACGTCCAAGTGATCTGAAGGCACGGGCACTTTGGTCAACGCAAACACCGGAAGAACACTGCAAATCTCTCGCGCGGTTGCGAAAAAAAATCAACGTTGCCTGTTGATATATCGAAATCATCTTCCATTGCAATTTCTTGTATATCTAAGATATGTTTATATCTTCAAAGTGAAGGGGTAACACTTCTGAAATCTCTGTGTAAACAATGAGTGACGTATACGCGCGAGAATCACTTCCGGGGCATTCCGGCGCTTGGCTGTGATTACAAGAGGTAAAAACGATATAAATACTGTTCGTTTTCTCTCACAAACCACTCATTTCGTGTCTTATCCCATCAATGTGTAATTACATTTAAGAGTCATTAAATCATGTTTAATTTGGACTTCTCTGTGCATGCTCTTTGAGGTGGACCCCATATACCTCCATTATATGACTGACAGACAAGAACGGTTGACCAAAAAATATCAAAATTGAAAATACTGCAGAAACAAAGACACCTACATCTTGGATGCCCTTGAGGGAAGCTAAAACATATCAAAAATTAATTTCAAATTGAACTATCCCTTTAAAGTTGTTGAATTGAAACATTAAAAAAAAATATTTCTAGTGATCTAGGGAATATGATCTGAAAGCCATGACTGTGGCTGGAGCATGTGTGCAAACAACCAGGCAACAGCACTGACAATTCACTGCATATTTGCCCTTTATCTTTACAAACAGAGGTTTCTTTCAGGAAAAAAAAAAAACCCAACAACATTCATTTAAAACATTAATCTTCAAAAACTATTGTAAATGTCTCTCTCTGCCTTCCCATTACCGTCCAGTTGACCACTTAATTTCAGTCGAAGCCTCCGCCACGTAAAGTAATTGCTGTGAGGCTATTAAAACCGGTGACCCCCACGACACCTCGTTTAGCAGAAGATACCATTGGAAAGAAAAAAATTAACAAGGGGGACATGGATAAACAAAAAGACAATCACACATATTCCGACCGGCAAGGAAACAAAAGAGAAGAACACATCCGCAAGCGGCTATTGTTAATTGCTGCGCTATTGTGAGGAAATTCTTTGAAAAGCGTGCAAGATCTTTAATGGAAATGGCTGGTTGTTGACAGCAATGTTTGGCATTTGGTGTTCACCAGCGCTGTGTTTAAAGGCAGCTAGTCTCATTTACGACCTCGCTGCTCTTTGCTACATCCGCAAGGATTTGAGAATAATAGTGTTTCTTTCCCACAAGGGGCCGAAGCTTGCGCTAAACAGACGCTCTTCCACCTTAACTTCGACCTGCCTGTTCTCTCGAACACAGTTTGGGCTCTCCAGAGAGCCATGGCTCCTCGAAAACGCTCTCAGCCCCCTTCGTTCCTATAGATACGGACACTATGCCCTATGGGAGTATTTACAAGAGCATGTACGAGCACCCAGACCGGGGCGTCAGGGGACAGGCGAAACAGAGAAACACAAGAAAGTGTGGATCAAAGTTCACAGAGTGTATTTGTTAGATGCTCTGATCTCCACTTAAAAAAAGAAAACACGTCTTTTTCGGATTGGAGGCCAACTTGACATTTAGAAATGCTCTGTTCGGGTGAAGCGGCCGATTTGTGATCACCTGTGAACTGTTTTTGACTCGGGGTTGTGGAGTAGTTCAAAAAAAGCTTAGCCGCTAATCGTGCAAAAGGTAAGATTGATCACTGTGACTTATAAGGCTGTTCACAGTGGAGAGCGTTGCAACGCCCAGGAGGACAGGAAGTCTTTTTTTTTTTTTTTTCTGGGGCGACAAAACGCGATGCACAACTTACAAAAACAGACACGCACACGCTCACCTTTAAAATATGACCAATATGGATTAAAAGGCACATCTCGGGTTGAAAGATTAATACCGTCCACTTGATTTCCACAACCTGCCCATCTGGGAGCGCTGAAAGCCACTTATACAGCATAAAAGACACAGCGCTGCTCCTCGGCCTCTTCATTCAGCCCACACAAAGGCCACTCAAGGCTAAGAATCTCTCTCTTGGCTTTCATGGGGATGCTATACCTGTGAACACTGTAGCATGAAGCTGCTAGCTATTTCTCAGCTTCCTCTTCTCCCTCTCTCAGGCTGTCAGTTAAAGCCGCGCTCACCTTTATAATGTCCTGCGCTCCTAAAGCCACACAGTAAGACTGGGATAAGAGCTGGATAAAGCCGACGCAACACTGACCAAAGACCACCACTACTCTCACTTCTGTTCTCAAAAGCTCATTTCTCCTTTCTACACTTATTTCCTTTTGTTCTCTTTTCTCCACATTTCTCTTTTCTCCTCGCCTCATTTCTCCTATACATCTCATTTTTCTTGTCTACTTCCCTTTGTTTCTCCTTCACGTTCCCCATTTCTCTTCCTCTCTTTATTTCTCATTCCCTCTCCCAATTTCTCTTCTCTCCTCCCCTTATTTCTCTTTTATGCTTCCAATTTTAGTTGCGTCCTTCTCGTTTCTCATTCGATCTCCCCCCATTTCTAATCACTCATGTCCTTATTTCTCTTCTCATCCCCCTATCTTTCTTCTTTTCACCTAAATTATCATTCCCCCTCAAAATTTCCCTCATCTCATCCCCTAATTTCTCCTTTCATGATTTCTCATTCTCTCTCCTTTCATTTCTCATTCGCTCCCCACATTTCTCTTTTCTCCTCGCCTCATTTCTCCTTTACATCTCATTTTTCTTCTCTACTTCCCTTTGTTTCTCCTTCATTTTCCCCAATTCTCTTCTCTTCTCCCCTTATTTCTCTTTTATGCTTCCAATTTTAGTTGTGTCCTTCTCTTATTTCTCCTCGTTTCTCATTCGCTCCCCCTATTTCTATTCTCTTATCTACTTATTTCTCTTCTCATCCCCTTGTTTTTCTTCTTTTCACCTAAATTATCATTGCCCCTCGAAATTTTCCTCATCTCATCCCCTAATTTCTCCTTCCATGATAATTTCTCACACTCTTACTCATTTCTTCTCCCTATCCTCATTTCCCTTTTCATCGTATCTTCTCTACCTCTCACTTTCCGTCTCTGACTTCACCCTGTTTCCTCAATTTCTTCTTTTAGAAAGGGCCTCTTATCTCCACGTTTCTCATCTCCTTTAAGTGAAAAAGTTTGATGGAGTAAATCACACCTATATGCAAAGACAAAATATCACCCCAAATCCCTTTAAGGTTCCACTAAGCTCATTCTTTCTCAAAAAAAAAAAAAAGTCTCACAAATAAAGTAACAGAAACCTCGCTCAAGTGAGCAATAACCTCAAGTCCAGTATATCATAAGTCTGAAGGTATTGGACATTTCTCACAAGCCTACAGGCGTGAGCGAACATGACCGAGAAACAATCCACCCTGCGCATCCAATGGTAAATGTCGGACTAATCAAACAGAGTCGATGGATTGGCTGCAGTGGAAATCGCTGCTCTTTTATTGGACCATATTAGCCTTGACCTTCAGGGCTCAAATGAAACGTCCTTGAAGATATAATGCTATAATGTAACACGCAGCACAGGGGCTCCTCTACTCATACAGAAAACTCACGCTTCAATGTCTTCAGAGCACAACTGTGAACTGCACGACTACCGGGACAGTCTAACTGAAGGACATTCATAATAACATTACTCACACATGCATGCAAAAGCACAGATACACACACAGACAGAAAACAAATGGGCACTTACCTCTATGTCTATTTGTAGTTTTATCAAACATAAGCATAGCATCTTCTACCTAAAAGAGAACAGAGAAGAAAATATTAGTAATGCCAAATGTACTGAAATTCACACTAAAAAGACTTAACAATACTGGACCCATTAAATTTAGTAGCATCAATGTTATTTTAATATTGCTTACTTGAATACTTTTCACAAGCATCAACAGAATATAGCAAGTCCTTTTAAAGGGATTTAATGTGGGATTTAAAAGAAGTTTAATGGACAGCAGATTCTGACAAAATTAACACTTTTTCTCTTCATAACAAAAAGAAATATTTTATAAATGTACTACTTTATACTAATACTATTAGCTGAAAGAGCAGTTAACCAGTCAAAGCTGGATTGCTATGACTCTCGGCTTGGTTTTAGCACTTGCTGGGTTAGCAAAGCTGGTAAGCATTACACAAGCTTAAACCAGTGTGAAGATCATCATTAGACTAGCTTAAACCAGTTAAGACCATCAAACGATTTTAGATTGGTTAAAATATTTTTTTTCAGCAGGGAAATAAAGGGCTGTGCATGTTATTTTTTGCTTTTCTGTCTAAATGGGTATCAATGATCCTACATTGCTGTGGAATTTGAGGTATTCAACAACAGCTATTATTAATACGTTATTCACCACTACTTAAATAGATAACCACTGGAGCCTAAAAGCCATTTACACACGCACACAGATCTGAAAGCTGCTCATGGCCATGTTCTGTGAGGAATGATATCCCTCCACGGACCCAAGGGTACCATCCTGTCTGACCCTGACAGAGGCCTGCTCATCCTTGAGGAAAACCCTGTCTGCAAGGGCACACTTCAGAGTGCATCCAGCCATAGCCCTCAAAACACACACACACACACACATCCAACAATACAACTGATCCTGCTAGTTTCAACTTCTTTCACATTAAAGACATGCACACAAATTAATTAATGCAAAAAAAGTGCATGCCATGCCAGGCGTAACCACACACACTCCACTATTCCTTGCAGAGGTCTCTGAGATTAGCCCTAAAGTACAGGCGGTTGGAAAAACACCTTCGCTCCACAAAAGGAGCCATCAGTCACTCAGCCCCATAGAGAACAATAGAGCTGCAAGCTTTAGAGTTCCTCATCACCCTCAATCACTTCCAATAAAGATCACACTGACTGGTGCTCTCATACAGGCTAAGGGAAATCTGTTCTCCTCTGCTATCACTCACTGCATATTTATGTTCCTCTAAAAACTGTGCTTCATGTTCAGAGGAACACGTTTCATAAGCGATGGGTTATCTGAAAGCAAGTATTAGCCTCATCGGCATTGAAAAAAAATACAATGTACAATAACTGCTGATTAAATGTTAAAAAACCTGTATTATCCATGCTTTTGGAAATATTTGATATATATATATCTTGATATTTATAATTGCTCTGAAATGTTTGTTTTTTTCAGAGCAATCATAAAAAAGTACACCGCATGTATTTCAGCATGCAAGTAAAAAATAAAGACTAAAATACAGTTAATAAATGAGGAACGTTTTCCCACTCAGTTTTTCAGTTACAATATACTATTCAATAATTATTAAATTTTGTATTCAATTACATTTGTGATTATTATTATGAAAAATACAGTTTATTCTTTTAAAAAGTGTTTGAAAACCAAATTGTTGGTTTCTTGATAATACTGGTTTTCTCTTGCATAGTATTTTTAATTAATACATAGTAGCATCTAACGCAAATTTTGATGTAAATGGATTTTTCTGAGAAACTCCTCCTAGCATTGACAGTGAGAAGAATCGTGTGATATTGTAATGTGGGAATATAAACCATCATGCCTCCCTTTCACAATCACAGCAATGTATGCTGGATCTGTAATTATGTTGTCCCTGCCTAATGGATGCAAGTTCATAGGCCTGTAGCACGAGCATTTCGTTTTGTCCAGAAAGACGAGAGACCCTTGACTACAGCTGCACTAAGGCATGATGGGAGGAGACAGCTCTATACTCAGGCTCATATGTAGCTGTCTCTCCTCATAACCAGCCTAAAGTCTCTCTCTCGCCCTCCGCCATCTTTTCCTTAGTCTTTGGCACATGAAGTCTGAGAACAACACTAGTGATATATACAAGTAATCTGAAAAGTTGTGTCTGTCCATCACATATATAATCTATAATATGATAGGTTTAAATTTTAAGTTTATTATAGGCTTAAATTTGTTTCCTCTTCTCAAAAGCTCTACCTTTATACTCGATGACCTCATGCACAACTTCACACTTCCAGTCCTGCTTTGCTGCCTTGAAACCACCCTGACCCATTCAGACTTTCAATAAGGGGATGTGTATTCAAGGATAGATTCAGCCTGCCAGCGGCCATCAGATTGTGGGATAAGAAGCTCTTGAGGGCACACAATATACAGACACGGCACAAAGGTGAGTGCGCTCCCACACCCAGTCTGTTCCTAATCGTGGGTCCGCTCTCTCCTCCTTCTGTGAAAGAAAAGCCTGAGGGATAATAGCCGTCTCTTCTGTATGTAAGGGGGCCGGGCGGCCCCCACAGATAACAGTCCTGCTTTTTTATTCACTGAGAGAAATGAGGTAAAAAGGGCGGACTAGATTCATGGAAAAGAACAGAAAGCTCTTCTTAGAGTTTGTCCTATCTAGTAACGCAGCAGGGGAGAGGAAAGGGCATTTCAAGCCCTCTAAGAGGGGTGGCAGAAGGTTCCGGAGAGTCTGCGAGGCTAATGGCGCTTGCATATGCGACGGTGGCGCATTTAAAATGGCCTCGACCTTTACTTGTTAGCTCTTGTGCCTATGCCCGAGACTCAGAGGGGCCGCGGGGGTGGCGGGACCCCAGGCTAGCTGCGCGCCGATCGATGCGAAACAAGTGGCCTTACAGCGCTCTGATGTGGTGGGGAATTAATTAGCCAACCGCAGCGACTGGAAGGATGCAGGATGGCAAATTGTGCAAATTCTCGCCAGGCCCAAGGGGATGGTGCCATTAAAAGCCCCCCTGGCACACCCTAGGTGGTCGAGCTACTTTGCTATTAAACACCATTACTGATAATTGACTGAACAAGTGGCCTTTTTACTGGCCGTCCTTAGCTTGGGCAGTAGCTAATATGCGCTGTGCACCCGGCACAATGAGTAAATGCCACGCTAATGCCGGTTTTATGACAGGCATGGAAGGGGCAGGTCCTGTCTGAGTGTCGATAAAACTGCGTTTAAATGTAGTTTGCCAAAGCCAACTGTAGCTTGCCTTGAGATTTATGCTTCTTATTAGCAGGGGCCGTACATTCAGCCCTCTGAGACACAGCTCTTTATGGCTTTTATAGCGGGACTGTTATGAAGAAAAGCACACGGGTGTTGTGACCTCATATTGCCAGAGAACACAACATGCATTGGAGTTAACCAGGGGCCAAACACTAACTGACCTCAAAACAACAAGCAAAAACATGTTTGCAACTAAAGTAAAGCATTTTTGCATCAATAGAGTCACTAAAAAAAAAAAATTCAAATGCACTCATCCTGTTTCCCATTGGTAGGGTAAAGAGATATACGTTTGTCTTTGTTTGTTGGGAGAATCAATATAGAAATGTCATTTATTTAGATATATAATCAAATAAAAGCTCTATTTTAAAATGTTTTCACAAAAAAAAAAAATAATAACAATGGCAGCTATCAAGAAGCTTGATGGTTAGCTCACTGCTATAAACATGCTGCAGTTAAGATTGGTGGGTTCCTGTATGACAGCTGTGCAAAACAGTTTTCATTTAAGTAAGAAATATAATTGGAAAGTCTGTGGGGCCATTTTTTTATTAACTGTGGAAGGCAACAGCGGGAAGACAGGGGGGAATACAAGCCGGTGGAAGTGCAGTCAGACAGGGGGAGATTGTGTTTACATGTAGGCGAGGGATGGAGAGAACGCAATCCAACACTTGGTTAAATCCACTCAGCCGCCAGGGAGTGGAATCTACCACCTGCCATATCACCGTTCACTAAATCTCAGGCAGTAAGGAAAGAAAAACAGACTCCACCTTTCTCCTCATGTCAAACAAACGTGTGTGTGTCTGTCACACCATGGCAAAAATCTCCAAAACACATGCTGCAAACATTTTTAATCAGACACATTGAATTATTTATCAGGGGACAAAAGCATCAGTGGGTTTTCTTACTCAAAGCATTTACAGAAAACAGAGAGCATGGGAAATACAAACTGACCAAAGTTTCCAGTAGAGCCTTTAATGGCATTCTTACAACAAATTTTAAATGGAATAACTTCCAAATAAAATTCTATCAATCTATCAATATATATATATATATATATATATATATATGAAGAGTTCAGATGCAAAAGCCTCTAAAAGCCATTTGAAATTTTCTTCTTTAATGATTAATAGGTAATTCTCATTGCCATTTAAGTGAAATCACTGAACTTAAATATACAAGCTTGATAAAAAATTATCATTCTAGAAGAAAATTTCAAATGGCACTTAGAGGCTTTTGCATTTGAACTCTTCAATATATATATATATATATCTCCAGCAGCCATATCACCCTGTAGCCCAAGACAGGTTGCTCACAGAAGCTAAGCAGGGTTGACCCTGGCTAGTACCTGGATGGGAGACCTCCTGAGAAAACCAGGTTGCTGCTGGAAAAGGTGTTGGTGAGGCCTGCAGGGGGCGCTCACTAGGGATAGGGAATTCTCTAGGTATAGGGAAGACTCCATAACCTATATATATGTATATATATACATACTGTCTTAACAAACAGTGTTTCCAACAACTATTAACATCTTGAGATTCGGCAAACAACCTGTTATATTGACAAATTATCTGGCCAAAGCGGTAAACCAGATGAAAGAGTCCAAGTAAACATGTGTCTGCAGATTCAGGACACACAGGTGGATCAATAGCACATTTGTTACATGAGGGAGAAGTCTGAATGCATCTCAGCGCCTGATCATACACATGCACGTGTGTTTACGCGAATGTGATCCAGCAAACAACCCCGGCGATCAAAAATAAACAGTGGCAGACAAGGAAATGGATATTCA